TAGCAACACAGAAAACGTTTACGCAATAATTGCTCTACTCCAGCCAAACGCCACAGAAAACACTATGGCCCCATCCACATCCACATTAGCAAAGACATAGGCTTCTACCCTCGCCACAAATCCTTCCAACAGGTTAGTGTCAGAGAAGGCCAGGTACAGAGCCAAGACTTTCATACCAGCCAAGCAGTAAAAGATCACGAACAACAAACCACCCCATCCCTGTAGTATCAGGGGAGACCACGTGGGGAGCAGCAATGCAGCATTCCTATCCCTCCTAGCCAGAGATACCTCAGTAGAGGCCTAGTGAGCCAGAATTCATGCTCACTTAGCAATTACAAGGAGCATCCCTCAGGTATCAATGGAAACCAAATGGGGAACCTGGACTTCTACCCCCAAATGGCAGTAAGGATGTGGCAAACGCTCTCTTTCAGAAGCCAACCAAGACAGAAAATTTAAATAAGATTCACAATCTCATAATATAATACTCAATATGTCCAGGTTTCAATCAAAAATCACTCATTGTACCAAGAACCAGAAAGACCTCAAGCTGAATGAAAAAGACAATCAATAAACAGATGCCAACACCAAGATGAAAGAAGTATTTTAATTATCTGACAAAGATTTTAAAGCAGTAGTCATAAAAATGCTTTGAACAAGCAATTATGAGCCCACGTGAAACAAATGAAAACATATAAACTCTCAGCAAAAGAAACAGAAGATACAAAGAAAAAGCAAATGGCAATTTTACAACTGAAAAATAGAATAACCTATTAAATAAGTTAAATGAGATGATATATTCTTGCTTTTTTCACCTAATAACTAATGAAAACCTAAGTCTCTTTATATACACACACATTTTTAAGCAGCTATAGTATTCCACTGTATGAATTAACTATCTTTTAACTAATCCTCAATTACTGAACATTTGTATTGTTTATAATTTTCCACCATTACAAACCATGCATATTTGCATAATTATCTATGTCATAATTATCTCTCATATTTAGTCAATGACATCACTAAAAATTAGACTGCTATGTGAAAAGGCACGCATAGTTTAAATTTTCATACACACTGCCAAATAACCCTCCAGAAAAGTTGTACCATTATATATTCCCACCAATAGTGTATGAGTGTACCATACGTGCCAACAACTGTTACTGTCTCAATGTTTTCCCGTTTTCTAATTTGACAAGTGAAAATAGAAGATTATTGCTGTTTTTACATACATTTCTTTATTACTAATATGGTTAATATATTTTCATGTGTTTAAAAGCCAAACGTAGTCTTTCTTTTGAAAATTACCAATGCAAGTCTTTTGTGTATTCTCATTGTTTATCTTACTAATATAACAGAGCCCTTGGTATTTTACAAATATAAGCTGGGTGACATATATGGTGCAAATACATTTTCAACCATTTTGCTGGTTTTTAACTTTGTTGATCTTTTTTTTTCATAAGAGTTTTTAACTGGCTTAGATTTCATTTTAGCAAATCAAATTTTTTTCTTAACATCTTTATTGGGGTATAATTGCTTTACAATGGTGTGTTAGTTTCTGCTTTATAACAAAGTGAATCAGTTATACATATACATATATTCCCATATCTCTTCCCTCTTGCATCTCCCTCCCTCCCACCCTCCCTATCCCACCGCTCCATATATGTTCCCATATCTCTTCCCTCTTTGTCTCCCTCCCTCCCACCCTCCCTATCCCACCCCTCCAGACAGCCACAAAGAACCGAGCCGGTTTCCCTGTGCCATGCGGCTGCTTCCCACTGGCTATCTACCTTACGTTTGTTAGTATATATTAGTGTATATATGTCCATGCCTCTCTCTCGCCCTGTCACAGCTCACCCTTCCCCCTCCCCAAAGTCCGTTCTCCCATAGGTCTGTCTTTATTCCTGTCTTACCCCTAGGTTCTTCATGACATTTTTTTTCTTAAATGCCATATACATGCGTTAGCATACGGTATTTGTCTTTCTCTTTCTGACTTACTTCACTCTGTATGACAGACTCTAGGTCTATCCACCTCATTACAAATAGCTCAATTTCGTTTCTTCTTATGGCTGAGTAATATTCCATTGTATATATGTGCCACATCTTCTTTATCCATTCATCTGATGATGGGCACTTAGGTTGTTTCCATCTCCGGGCTATTGTAAATAGAGCTGCAATGAACATTTTGGTACATGACTCTTTTTGAATTTTGGTATTCTCAGGGTATATGCCCAGTAGTGGGATTGCTGGGTCATATGGTAGTTCTATTTGTAGTTTTTTAAGGAACCTCCATACTGTTCTCCATAGTGGCTGAACCAATTCACATTCCCACCAACAGTGTAAGAGGGTTCCCTTTTCTCCACACCCTGTCCAGCATTTATTGTTTCTAGATTTTTTGATGATGGCCATTCTGACTGGTGTGAGATGATATCTCAAATCAAATTTAAAGACTAAATCTTAGTCCCACTAAATTGAAGTACAAAGGCATCAACCTAAAGACTCGGTCCCAACTAGTTTTAGAGACAATCAATCACACACACACACACACACACACACACACACACAAACCAAAAACAAAAAACACCACCACTCTCACTACTGGTAAGAGTCTAGAACTAGCCTTTCTGTTCTCATGACAGTAAAGAAGAGGATGCTGGCACCACTAATTACCTATACATTCAATTAACAATGGTCTCCTCCACATACACAGTTTCCCCAGGTGTATGACTGGACTTCTTACTTCATTTTTTAAAATACAATATTCCATTTCCCCATTGGCATTCCATTCCTACTCTGAACCCCAACCTATCTGGCTGATGACTTGACAAGCTACCTTGTAGCCCTCTTATCTACTGGAGGCTGGACCCTTCCCTCATGTCATTCACTGTTATCGGAAACCTATTTCAAAATAACCAAAACTCTGAAAACCAGCAGACTGCCACCTGATGGCTCATTATTACCACTACCTAGAGATTTCTGCTACCATGCTCTGCCCCTCTTTTGGAGACTGACCTAAATTTACTAAGCTACCTTGAGTATCATAATTTGGATTGCAAGTCCACTCACTTGATCTACTTACTGCTCAGCTGGGATAGAAAACAGAACAAATGCTATGTATTATTCCCTTGTTTTTTCTAGACATCTATTCTCCCTACTTCTTTTCCCCCACCAGCCAGTCACAGGTTCTGGCATTCTTCATCATACAAGGCTACCTGGTTTATGACAAGTAGCACTAGCAATTTCATAAAAAATAAGCACAATCACTGAAACTGTGATTGTAAAAGTCACATACATAAAATCATCATGAAACAAAAATGGTTTAAAAGGATACCTTTTAATAATGTGAAGGGAAAAAAATTCAGACCACATATCCCTATACATATACACCCTAATGCCATTCCAGTACTTCACAGAATAAAGAATTTATCTATAATTTTTTTAGCCAGTTTACCAGTCCTTTCCATAACTACCAATGTATTAGTTAACGATATTATCTGACATCAATATCCGTAACTATAGCATTAATGCTTAGGGCTAAATTACATTACTTAAATTTTTCATTTTCTTCAGTCTAACATTTTCAAGTCGTTAAGTAATTTCTTTCTTAACTAATTTTATTCACATTCCAGGATACTTCCATGCTAAAATGTAATTTTTTAATTAAAAATATCAGCTCAATAGCCCAAAAATAACTGTATGCTCATCATACATGTACTTAGTAAAGATCACAACCTTAGCTAAAGAAATACAGCACAAGTTCATCTTCAATTCCTCAGCAATCTATAAACTATACTCCATTGGATTCAATTTTACAAAGCTTCAAAGTGTTACCATCCTGGATCAGGAAAAAACAGCTAAAGAGGATGTTATTAGGTTAACTCAATGGTTCTCAACAAGGGGCAATTTGGCCCCTCAGGAAACATCTGGCAGTGCCTGCAGACATTTTTGGCTGTCACACTGGGGAAAAGAGGAGGGCATAGCCTACTGGTATCTAAGCTAGACATGCTGCTTAATGTCCTATAACGCACAGGATAGCCCCCTACAAGAATTATCTGGTCCATAATGTCTATAGTGATGAGGCTGAGAAATACGGGACAACTGATGAAATCTGTATATGAACGGCACTGTATCAATGCTAAATTTCCTGAATTCGATCCACTTCATGTGGCTTCATAAAAGAATGACTTTGTTCCTAGGGAGTACATCAAAGTTATTTAGGAGTAAAGGAACATGCCTCAACTTACCCACAAATGGTTCAGAAAAAGGTAACTGTATATATGTAGATAGAAAGAATGCATGATAAAGCTATGAGCCAAAATGCTAACAACTGGTGAATCTGAGTAAAGGGTATACAGAAATTTATTTTATTATTCTTGCAATTTGAAATTATATCAAAATAAAAATTTAAACAAGTATTACCACACCTGCAAATTTCTTTTAACTGGGATACTCTGCACAATTTCCCAGTATATATGTGCAATATAACAAATCACCTTTCTTTTACTCCTTTCTCAAAATAAATAACACTATCTTGAATGGATACTTGTAAATTTGACCCACATAACTCAAGTAAGCATAAACTGAAAAGTAAAATTTCTAAAACGTGAATTGCACAGAAAGAGCTAGAAACATTTAGATGTCTACCAAGGACATGACATTCTTTAGTATATCACAGTAAAAGTATGACTTAATTCCCTGAATTATATATTTCATGCTTTCAATGCACACTGAAAACTGCAATCATTCAGAATCACAGAAGATGTGAACACAGTCAGTGGGAAAACATACATAAGAAATAATACAAAAACTTTTTTAAGACTCAGATTTTCAGAAGTTTGACATTAGTTCCAAATTCTTGAAATGTATCATTCTTGTTTCTAGACACTTGTTATTTCAATAATATTCAACAGATAAACAATAACAGTTTTGTAAATATTAACAGTTCACTTCTGGAAAGCAATAATTTAAAATTTTAAAACCAGGAAAAAATTTCGGGCACTTACAGATGTCTGGGACATACTTGACTGCTGTGTGACACTTCCTGTGGGGGATGTAGGTGGTCTTCCACTGGACAAACTTGCCTAAAATAATAAAATCTTTATAATATGTCTATAAAAGCCTGAAGTTAAAAACTTTCTGGTACCAGGATACCATAAAACCACAATAAAAGTCAAAACCAAAAAAAAGTCAAAACATCTATTTTACAGTTATTTTACAGTCAACATGGATTAAGCTTTAGCCAAACAGATTAAGAAAAAAAGAAAACACTGAACAGTGAAAACAGAAGACCCAAAGGCTAATCTTATTTTAATAGCCGCAGTCATTGTCAGTTTTACTCTACAGGTCTCAGTCTTCTTTGAAGTGAAATCACTACTCCAATGTTATGAAAAAGAAACTGGAGCTATATCAAGTACCAGTGGGTTTCGGTTTCCTTACTCGTATCATGTACATGACGTTATTTAAAATTACACTTCCGAGAAGAAGTAACAGCTGGGGATGTGTTTATAACAAAAATAAACCTTTTTTCAGGTTCAGTCAACTGAGATTATCCTTCAGTGAGGACATTTAAGATTAAATCTCACATACAGTTTAATTTAAATAAACAGTGCAATAATAATGAAGATCTTTTTAAAAACATAAGCATTTAATCATAAAATCATCCTGTTAGCAGTAGGAATCATATGAGTGGATTTTAGAAAAATGTACATACATATTTTTATACAGAACATTCCTGGAGGGATCAATATTAAACTTTTAGTGGCCACATCGGAAGA